ACTCACGTTTCACACCCATAAACCCCCAATAAAAGTTTTGAAATTTTCAAATTAAGCGATCTTCATGACAAATTTATTCTTTTTGTTGTTGAATACGACCCCACCCTCTATTATTCATTGTTCCAGAGTTATTTAACTCTTTAATGTCAAAATCGACGATTTCTTCCAGTTTTTAGCCTTTTAGTTCTAATCATATCTTACATTCCTTACATACCATTATTTCTATTTTATTTTTATATGAACATCATACACTTGCATCAATATTACATTCACTTTATTTAAAGCTACCTTTAATTTGTACTTATTGTACTAGTTGCTAATACCACTTTTTTCACAATTTTCCAGTATTTTCTACATATAAGTCAACATAATCAATTGAGTAAAAAGTTTTAAGCGCTATTGCTAAGTAAGTTTCCTTGTAAAGATTTATTGCCGAATTAATTGCTGGAGTTAATCAGTTTTTCACATTACGGCAATGGCTTATACCAACGAAAATATTTACGGCGCACTGATAAAAATTAAACGGAAAAAAGGGGGTAATAACGTCGTCCACAGCATCGATAAGAAACGCATTTCGGATATTTTTAAGCATTTTATGGCGTAGACGGCATTCGCGGCAAATATTTATGTCGAATCCCACAGTGGCTGGTAATTAAACTTTGAGATCACTGGTCGCAAATTTTGTTAATTGCCGAACCCGAATGCCCATCACCAACAAAACGTTCGTAACCTTTCTAAAATGCGAGACTTCTTCAATAACTTACATACAGCACGATGTACAGTAAGGACCCAAAAATTGTGTGCAGCTATGGGTGAAGAAAACAAAAAAAAAGAAACAAAAGGAGCGTATCACTAAATCAATTTCGGAATGCGAAGTCGACAATAGATATTACATTGCTACTTTTCTTAGAATTATTTATTTATTCTTTGTTAGGACTGTCACATTAGAATATTACGAGGACCGAATATTTTCGTTCTTTTATAAGTAACATCTGATCAGACGGGACTTGAACCTTGACGAAACTCTTGTACAAACTAGAGTGGGTGGATCGGATTGCGAGTTTCGATGATTTAACCCTGCTTTCACACAGACGGTTTTCTAACGGCAACCGTGCCGTGCCGTGCCGTAATTTCATTTTGCTTTGCGTTCACACTGCACGCGGTTTTTCACGGTTTAGTTTTGTTTTGATACATGACCAAAATGGACGAAAGAAAAAAACGCATGTTGTTATTAATGATATGGCATAATCGCAGAAAAACACAAAAAACAAGAAGATTTTGGATTCGTCCACTACTTGAAAACAGACAATTGATGGGTGAATTTGTAACATTATTTCATGAGCTACGAGAGGATAGCTCCAAATTTTTTAATTATTTTCGAATGTCCATTAGGAGTTTCGATGAATTATGCGTAAAATTGCAAGATGATTTAAAAATTACAAATAGTCATCAAAATTAATTGACAATGATTACGCTTTATTTAATATCAAGAGGGAAATAAAAAAAAAAATGAGTATCAATCAGAAAACAATCTATCAGAAATAGAAAAAGGTTTTCCTTTCTGTTATGTAACGCTTTGATACCAAAAGAAATCAAATTATTAAAGTTTTCACTGTCTAGCTTGTTGGAGATAAAAGAAGATTGTAATATATATCTGTACAAAACCTTGTTTCTTCAAAAATATCGGAGAAAATTTAGAGAGAAAAACGATCCAGAAAACAATTTTTGCCGTGTGAACACACGGCACGTGTGAATACTTCTATACACTTGCTTGTCTCACTGTTGCCGTGCACGGCCACGGCGCCGTGCCGTTGCAGTCCCCGTGCACGGCTACGGCAACAAACCGTGCTGTGTGAAAGCTTGCATATAAACCAATTTATTACTATTATACACGGCACGGTTGCCGTGCACGGCCACGGCAAAAAACCGTCTGTGTGAAAGCAGGGTTAGGGAGCCGGTTCAACCATAATAGGGGGGGGGCTCTTAAAGAGGAAACAGACTAAGCTAAGTTCCTGAAAGAGGGCAGAAACTCTTTCAGTACTCATCAGGGTGGCAGAGATCGGTAAGGCACTCTGATGCACAATACTGCGATGTGGAAGGCAACGGGAAACCACCACCGAGTAAAACGTACGTTAAAGATTTAATGATGGCGTCCTCTAGGGTAAAGCACTCCGGACGTAAACTAGTCCCCCATTCGGATGTCCGGGCGGGGACTACCTCGGGGGATGTCATCAACAAGTGCAATAGGGATAAGTGCAATATTCAGAACAATGAGGCAAGTAGGGAAATTAGAAAATTTAAAAGTAGAGATGAGTAGATTACAGTTAGATATAGTAGGTATTAGTGAAGTCCGTTGGCCCGAAGTTGGAGACTTTTGGAGTGCAGACTTTAGAATAATACATACAGGATCGGTGGAAGGTAATTCGGGGGTAGGAATTGTAATGCGTAGGAAAATAGGGCAGAGTGTAGAAAGTTATTTACAAAAAAGCGACAGGATAGTTATGGTTAAACTAAACTCGAAGCCTGTAAAAACGGTATTAGTGCAGATCTACATGCCTACATCATCTTACAGTGATGAAGACGTAGAAGCGGTTTATGCAGATATAGAAGACGTGTTAAGTTTGGTGAGAGGACAGGAAAACCTAATAATTGTAGGAGACTTCAACGCAGTAACAATGAAGGTAATGTGGGTGCAATAGCAAGTTCTTTTAGATTAGGCAATAGAAATAATAGGGGAGATAGGCTGATAGAATTCTGTGATAAACATGACTTAACCGTCGCGAATACTTTATTCAACCATCACGTTAGGAGGTGCTATACGTGGAAGATGCCAGGCGATTAAGGGAGATATCAGTTAGATTACATATTTGTTAGGCAAAAGTTTAAAAATTAACTGAATGACTGTAGGAGGTATCCAGGAGCAGATATAGATAGCGATCATAACTTAGTAGTTATGAAGACAAATCTAAAATTGAAAATTCTGAAAAAGAGGGAAGGTAGGAGACGTCTTGAAATTTAAAGAATAATAAGGCGCCATATGTAGATGGGATACAGGGAGAAATTCTAAAACATGCAGGACAAGAGGTTAGAGATCGTATGTTGAAGCTAGTTAGTCACATTTACGAGATGGGGAAAGTCCCAAAGGATTATAAACGAACGTAGTAGTAACCATACCTAAAAAGAGGGGCGCGGATAGGTGCCAGACATTTAGAACAATTAGCTTTAACTTCCGATGCGTCAAAAAGCTTAACTAAAATTGTACAGAGAAGAATGGAAAAAATGGCGAAAGAACTATTAGGGGAAGATCAATTTGGATTTAGAAGAAATAGGACAATTATGGATTTACCATTGTAGTCAGAAAAAATGATATCGAGACTCATATCGCCGTACCTTTAGGTGCGTTTAATTTTACAATAAAAACTGAGATGTAACCCTTGTTACAATACCTGGGTAGTATTTGAGAACACAGAATACAATATATTTTTTTCGCTGATGGTACAATTGTAGTATATATATGATACAGCTAGATAACAAGATGAATAATAAATACTCAAAACGATAACCAAAAAGTTCGTTTTCCAAAAAGTACCCGCTTTACACTTATGTCGCTCTCATTTCTAGTTTATTCAACCTCTTCTTAATTAAACTTAAGTAGAACTTGTTTTATTCGCGTTCGGTGGCTGCTACTTGTCTGCAACTTTTTCAGGTAATGTATCGGAAGGTAGGCAATAAAATAAATATACAACTGTCGCTAATCCAAAAGGCGTAGCACCGGTAAGTAACCTTTTACGTGGCAGCTTATGTACCTGGAGGACCTGTTTGATACATTATTACAGACCACCGTCGCCGAATGGAAACATTCGCAGGATCTCGTCAATGCATTTTCAATTGAAGTTAAACAGTAACATTTCCTTCTAATTACTGACAAGCCGCACTATTTGCTGCGATGCTCTTAAACATTTTATTGACAAGTTATACTTACAATTAGCAATGGATAGCGTTGAAGCAGAGATCCGCTCTTTTCTGATTTAATTGCTCGAGACTGAGACCCGATTAAGATACGTTAAGAATAAGCGAGCGAATGCTCGTTCGCTCGTTATCCCAACTTTACCAAAATGTTATTGCGTATAATAATATTCGTCGAACGTGTACGGTATTTGCACACTGGAGCGAAGCGGACAGACAGAGCGCAGGGGAACAGAGGACTCTATGGAAGTCAATAAGAAATATGCGAGATAGGCAGAAACTGGAGTTAAGAGGAGCAAAGGTAGACCTAGATTAGATTTCTGTTCGCAAATAGTTAAGGATATGGGTTGTTCTAGTTTTAGGGAAATGCGAAGATTAGCTCAGGGTAGGAAAGAGTGGAGGTACGTGTCCAACCAGTCTCACGGCTGACGACCTTATGATGATGAAAAGAGTAGTAGAACAGAGGACTCTATGAAGGTCGATAAAAAATAGGCGAAATAGGTTGGCAGGCATCCTTATCAGCGGGCGGATAGAGCGTAAGGGATGGACGAGGGCCAGTGCATTTGTTTACTGTTAACGCATGCTGATCGGTAATGAACGAGTCGTTTGATGAGATTTGCATTGCGCTTAGAAGAGGAACATCAGTAAGCACAGAAGAAGAAAGTAATTTGGTAGCATAAGAAACGTATATGTAATATATATATGTGAAAAATCGAGACATTTAATGAATTTTCTCACTTGTCTGATCACTTACAATAAGACTTTAGAAAACCTGAATACACTATTCGTCGCAGGAAGTAGAGGAAGCATTTTAATAGATTCCAATGCTCGGCACCGAAGCGCACTTCTTCCGATGACCTTCAGCGTCTATCTGAGCGCTGCGCTTTAGATCCTTTAGAGCCTGTGCAAATTAATTTAGCATTTTGGTTCCCTTATAAGGTATGTTTAGTAACCATATTTGTGAGGTATCTATTTTCAACAGTTTCTTACTATATCTAAAAAGCAACGTTAAAGTCACCAATGAAATAGAGACAAACTTTTTTGTCGTGTATTTGCTCATTTATCTATTAACAATCTTTGTTTACGAGAATGCTTTTGTCCATAACAAGAATATGTGTAAACAATCAGTGGAGGTATACCTCTCAAGTTATAACTTATACTTTCTAAAAAGAATGCAGTATTTTTAAAATTACAGTGAAAACTCATAACATAAAATTAATTATATAATATACAAGTAGGTATCTAGTAGGCTTTTACTGCTACTGAAGTATTTTATGTGTTAGACAAGAAATTGCAAAAGTACTAACTTGCCCAACATATGAAATACTTCACTACCAGCAAATACCCACCAGATGGCGTTATACTTAGAAATTATATAGATTTGATCAGTTTGGTCAATAATTTTTTGAGACTGCGTATGGCGCGCTGATGAGATCGAAATTGCGATCCATGTTTGACGCTTTCGATAAATTTCTGACCAAGAGCTAAATAGACGTACTTATTAATTATTTACTTGTAAACTGATAGGAACTTTGCACGTTGAAATACTTAACACATAATACACAAAAAATTACATAGATATGTATCTATTAGCAAAAATAACATTTGTTTAATTAAACCGCTAAAGAGGCAAATAAATGTTACTTAGTTAGTGATATTCAGTTTCGAAGTTTGTTTTTTCGATTAAAACGAACGATTGTATTTAATTTACTTTTACAAACTCTCCTACCCTCCGGTTTCTAATTACGTCCTTGTAAAACAGTGCTGAAGCCTTTGGAGTCCTTGGCCTGTTGGGGTCCGAGAAATCAACGTCGTACATACCAAATCGATTTCTAAAATATAAGAAAATTATGAATTCCAGAAATTGAAGTTTTGGAGGCTATAAGAAAGGAGCGAATATAAAGATAGGAGACGAAAAATTTAAGAAGTATTTAAGAAGTCAGATAAGTCAGGATGGAAGAAGCAATAAGAGATATAAAACAGACGATAGCACAGGGTCTAGTAGCCTTCAGCAAAAAGAAGTCACTTCTATACTCACAAATGATTAATTTAGAAATTCGAAACGCGGCGCTGTACGGGTACGAAACCTGGACGGTGGGCGCGGTGGAATAGGAAAGGTTAGAAGCGTTCGAAATGTGGTGTTACAGGTGAATGATGAGGATACCGTGAATAGAGAAAGTTAGAAATGAAGAGATATTAGAAAAACTAGGAGAACAAAGGACTCTATGGAAGTCAATAAGAAATAGGCGAGAAAGGTTGGTAGGACACCTTCGCAGACATGAAGGGCTAGTCAGAGACATATTAGAAGCAGAATCTGGAATTAAGAGGAGTACAGGTAGACCTACATTAGATTACCATTTACAAATAGTTAAGGATGTGGGATGTTCTAGTTTTAGGGAAATGCAGAAGATTGGCACAGGATAAGAAAGAGTGGAGGTGCGTGTCCTATTAGTCTTAGGATTAATAACTTTAAGATGATGAACCGTGACCATTCTAAAATGTTTCGAACAGCAATGTTAAAATTATAATGACAAATGCAATAATTTCGAAATCGAAAACAGATTTTTTTGTATAGGATTAGAAGTATGTGTAATATTTATTTATTAAACAAATCTGTAATCAACTGTATTACAAATAATACACATTTTTATATGCTCAAGGTGAGACAGTCTCTTACGTTTCAATAACAGCTGTTTCGCAAGTTTAGTTGTCGTTTCTTTTGTATTGAAACCGCACCACAAATTACGATATGCAACAGTGTGATAACAATCACGCCTTTTCGGAAAAATATTATCATTTTAAAGACTATCATTAAAAATTATATACAATTCCGTTGCGCAAGTAACCATATTTTGACGTTAGTTAATAGCAATAACAGTGATATCTACTTAACAAATATAAATACGTCCACATACGTGCTTTGGAGTAATATTTTTAGATCGTGAAACGTAAGCAGGAATTTTACCACCTTTTTGATACTTACACATATCCATCTAGCCATTCGAAATTGTCCAAAAGACTCCAAGCAGCATAACTTTTTACCCTGACCTTGTCCAATACAATAGCTGCATTTAAATTTTGAAGATATTGCTACAAATAAAATTAAAATGCACAATTATTCATCCTAATCTTTTTTAAAGCGAACCTACCCCAAAATATGACACCCTTGTAGTATCATTTAACCCACCGTGATCGGAAAAGCCATTTTCCGTGACATGAATCTCACTTGGATTGTATGTATTTTGTAACCAATTCAGAATTTTACGAAAACCCCACGGTACAACCTATATAATACAAAAGGATGTTTATAGCAGGTACTATTTATTATGTGTTGATTCCTTTTCTGACATACCTTGATCCATGGAGCAGCTGCTGAACCCCATGAAATTTTTGCATTAGCTTGCACCTGATGATCACTGGAGAAATGCGTATCAAGATTGTTTATTTTTGCATCGGTGACAAAATATGAAGTGTAGTGATTCAATCCCAAAAAGTCCGATGTTCCTTTAATGCTATCAATTTCTTCCTGAGTGAATTCTGGAAGCCTCGACCGTTTGTACCCTTGTAACGTACTCCTTTTTGCTATATATTCCTTCATTACAGCTGGATAATCACCCTGACTTGTAAAAATGGGGTGGGCCCACCATCCGAACTAAAAATTACAAGTAGAATATCTAATTAACCATAGAAGTTGTGGAACTTACATTGAACTGCATCATGCGGTCAGCTGTCTCTTCATCTTTGGGCGTTTGTGGTTCATACCAAATACCGTGAATTGTAATACCAATTTTACCTAAAAGAGTGAGCATATTTGTTACAGTTTTGAAATGACCACTGGCTATATTCTATTCTACAGACTGATGCTTCTGTACCAAGAGAATCTTCAATACAGTAAATCTTACCATTATATAGGTGTCTGTAGGTATCGTTGTAGATATGGTATGCAATTGCATGAGCTTTTATGAGGTTGTGCCCACATTGGTAATCAGCAATACCAGACATGTTAAGTACTGGTGCCAAATTGTCACTCCCATATCCCTCCTGACAGACCTGGTGCGGTTCATTTACGGTTATCCAATATTTTACCTTGCTTCCGAAATTTTCGAAGGCTACTTTGGCATATTCAGCAAAACACGGGACAATTCTTGGATTCGTCCATCCCCCGAGTTCCTGTAGCGGCTGAGGGAGGTCCCAATGGAATAGGGTTGCCATTGCCGTAATGTTGTTAGCCGCAAGTTCGTCAAGAAAAGCTACATAATGTGCAATTCCTGCAGGATTTGGTTTGTAAGGATGACCATGGGGGAATATTCGCGACCATGAAAATGAGAAACGATAAACAGAAACACCCAAATCTTTTAAAAGGGCAATGTCTTCTTTATATTTGTGATAAGAATCACATGCTATGTCGCCATTACTTCGGTCTCGTATCAAATGTGTATGGTTGTGAGTTAAGTGATCCCATATGTTCTCACCTTTACCTAAAGATTATAGTAAGTAAATAAATTGTATTGAAAGTGCTACTGTTGTGTTTAATTTGTTAAATCTATACTGCTTTGTTGTTATTTAAATAAAACAAGTTTGTATAAAGGTGTATGGAATATTACTAGTTTAATGTTGGGTAACTTATGTCAATATGCATTTTACGTATACATATGAATATCCCTTCAAGTGTTATTACTTCACTTCTATTAATTCAAATGGAAAATTTATAGCAAAAACAATTTTTCAAATGCTTCCTTTTCAACACTTTATTAATTACTAGCTGAGATCCTCCAAAATTGTAAGGAGGTACCGGTTGGTGGTGCATAGCACACTTACATTTTAATTTTTGCAACAATTAATAAATAATAATTAATAGTTTTAGCATGTATTTAAAATAAGTGTGTACTCAAACAACTATACACATATTTAAACCCATCCACTTTTTTCCAACTGTCTACCACCTTGTATATATCAAACTTGTTTTTTTCTTTTAATTAAAGATTCTGATTAAGCAATAACATCCCGTATACCGAAAGTTGGAAAGAATAATTTAATCTTTTACGACTTTTCCCATAATAATTATGACAAATTTCCGCAACCTTTATGATTGCAAGAAAATGTTTTTCTTCCGTTTTTAGTCGCTAATATCATTTAAATCGGTTAATAAAGTCGGATCAAATTTTACAAAACCCCTACTTCTATAACATTTTTTAAATCGATCTATTTTATAGCATTTCATTCGTCCTTTGCCGTTCCTTACCATTTTTAACTAAAATGCGAAATTTTAGACTATTGTATCCACGGCTAACTGAGAAATTAACAAACAGACATTAAAAATTAAATTAAAAAGATTACAACGGTTCAATAACATGCAAATTACTTCGTAAATAAATTATAGACGATTAAACATTATATATGAAAAAATAATTATCGAACTTACGAAATAAGTTCATGTAAAACGATTATTTAAAGAATCCCAACATATTTTTTAAAAAATCATACCGTCTTCATTCCATGCTCCTTCGATTTGGTAAGATGATGTTGCTGTCCCGAACAAAAAGTCATCGGGGAAGTACAAGTTAGAAAGTTCACAATGAATTCTGCAAAACATCAAAAAATGCGCCTTAAATTAGCATGTGCAAAATTAATAAAATACTACGTACCCCTTAACAAAATAAATGGTAAAAAATAATATGCCTTTTGTCCACATTTTTAAAAATAATTTTCCAGCTGTGCACTTATCTACCTAAGTAGGTATATGGATAATATTTAAAGCAGCGATTCTTCTGCTACTACTAACGTCACCGAAAACCTGACGACACTAAATCCGAAAATGATCTTTCGAATAATTAAGTGACACTACAAGATAGTAAATAACCCGTACGACATGTCTAATACGTAACAAATTTACGCGACTTCGTTATTTTGATGTACATACGTAAACCTTTGCATCTAAACAATGAACATCATAATAATTGAATCTAATCACTGTTACTGTTAGCTACCATTGGTTTGTGCTCGGCAAGAAATTTTACCTTGATATCTGAATAAAACCACACTTACACTCCAGGCAAAACCGTTTCCTTACAATTAGTTTAGCGATTGGAAACAAAAAAAGTTTAAAAATCCTACAAGCAAGGAGTTTTATGTTATTACAGAGAAGCGAAGTGGTTTCTTTTTACCATTAACCTTCAACGTACCTTAGTATTAGTTTTTGCAAAGTTCAAGTCATTTCCACGATTAAGTCTTTTACAGCGGAAATAAAAAAATGAGCGACATGTAAGTAGGTATCAATATCGCAAAAAAAATAAGAAAAACTGTGATTGATTTTTACGTAAGCCGTTAATTGGTTACTATTAGTGGTTAATTATACAACTGTCGTGCCTAATTACGTGGTGATTAGCAATAATGGTTAACTTTTTTTTTTTTTAGAGAAGACAAACAATATTATGTAACGGATCTGTACGACTGTCATAAAAAATTCTATTAAACTATCATCGTTTCAATCAATAATTTATTGCATAAAAAATTGATATTATTTTTTATTATATATTTCCTGAAAAACTATAATAATTTTGCTTTTACATATTTAGTGCAAAAAGAATCACATTTGTGATTGCAATCGGTTCATTTGGGAATTCTAAAAAAAAATTAAAAGTGTATGTTTATAGCACGGCTCTGTATAGGTGCGAATTGTTAACAATGGGCGCAGCGGAAAAGAAAAGTTTAGAAGGATCTGAGATATGATGGGAGAGTGTGGGAATTAATGATTAATTTCCTAGATGTGGGCGTTAAAAGACTTAAAGGATTACATATATTCCATAAAAGTGTTAATTGAGTTCCTAAAACTGTCACAGATTTTTCCTGACTACCCTGCATCTACAGTGTTCGAGAATGTTTTATTATTTTCTAGAACTCTTAGATAGATTAGGATAACGAACGATAGTTTGAAAGTGAATGAAAAAAAGAGAGATATAGGATGGTAGAACACCGTCTGAGACACGCAGGGTTAGTTAGGGACAATTTAGAAGCAGAAACGACAAGAATTAAAAGGGATAGAGGAAAACCTAGAGTAGAATACTGTTTGCAAATAGTAAAGGATATGGGAATATAATAGTTTTAGGACAATTCGAAAATTGGCTCAGGATAGGTGTTTAGATGTTCCATAGGTTGAGAATAAATTATACTAGTGTGTTGTTCTTAACACTTTCTTGAACTCATTTAAACACATTGAATAGTATCAGATACGCCACTGACTATATTTCATTGGATATTGATAATCCTTTCTAGCATATAAATTGGTTAAAATTTGTTTGTCGCGATAGGTAAAATATACTGACCAAAATTACCTCTATATATAATATCTATTACAGTGGCTAAACACTAACCACTAAACAAAAGCAAAGAATGGAGGTACGTGTCCAATCTCCCTATGATAATGATGATACCAACGCTATTTACTTTTGATTCTTTCACATTAATAAACTAAATTTTTATAAAAGTTATAATGGTGAAGGTAATAATAAAAATAAAAATAATGTGCTTTTTTTATTCCTCTGCTTTTTATGAACATTATCTATAGGTGCAATTAGCTATTGATAATAAAATCGAGTCATTTGATTTCAAATTAGATACCTACTCCATCTTTCTGAAGTTTTCGAAAAATTTTTCATTTATTCGACAATCAAGTTATTCAAATTTCGAATATTAAGTTCTATAACTTTTCGGACAGCCTTAGTTTTAAGGAAATCAACCGAGAAAAACATAATATGCAACAATAAACAGGTATTAATTAACCACCCACCTATTTGTTGGAAGTATTTTCATCAACTTTTGTCGCCGAAGGCCGAACCAAATTTTTCTGTTTTCTGGTAACTAAAAGAGATATCTTTTTCTATGAAATATTATCACCAAAGACATCTTAGACCATAAAATCGTAAAAGAACCTATAATATTAGCAGTTTATAGAGTTAATTAAATTTGGGGCACTTTTACATTTTTGGCAACTTTCAAAAAAAATTAAAATCTACAGGAATTAAATATTTAGCAAAGCAAAATTTTCGCCGATTTTTTGTTGTTCTCTTGTTTTCTTGTTTAAATTTTGAATTATACAACAACCTTTGTTCCCTAAAACATGTGTCAAAAAAAGACCAAATCGATGTTGACATTATTCCATTCAATTTAATTATTCATAAAAAAATAAAAACCAAAATATAGTCATCAAAGACCAATGAGATGTCGAATTTTTGCTGTGCGATTTTTTTGCTCTTAACTGTATCCTTGTACATTCTAATCACGTTACGACGGCGACGTCTCGCTTAATTTACTTTGTTATGGTTTTTTTCTTGAAATTAAGTTAAACTGTTTTGCGATTTCTAGTTCAGAACTATGCAGGTAGTAGTGGATAGAGAACAAATGAGATTGTTTTAAAGTTGCATTTAAGTTTTGCTATTCTGGAAATCTCAAATCAATAATAAACTGAACGACAAACGTGTCGTAACCGTTCTCCATAAAATTATTATTTAATTAACACATATTTTGTTAAATTCTGCCACCATAAATAATTTCAAAATGCCTATTCAATGTAGTGTCGGTTTTGTATTAATAATTTCCATATTTAAAGGGTAAGTACTTGCTATTTGTTAATGAAATATTGATATAAAAAATGAAGTGGCTTCTATTTATTTTATTGCTTTAATAGATATTCATTTTTTGAACTGAAAGACCATCAGTTTCCCGAAAATTTGTTATTTGGTGTGGCCACCTCAGCGTACCAAATAGAAGGAGCATGGAATGTGCATGGTATGAACAACAAAAAATTATTTTTCTATGGTTGTAAAAATGGCATAATTTGGCTTTTATACAGCATATTCTATTGCTATAGTTCTGCAACCTCAATTTTAAAAAGAATATGTCGAATTTATTGTAAGTAAACGCGTAAATCACACCGGACGTGGACTGTTGTGAATTCGGACACTTTAAATTGCTATCTACTTAAGGAGTTGACATCATAGAAAAATAACAGAGATACTTAGATAAAACACCGGAAATGATAAGACATTTATATTTAAAATTTAAATTTCGCAAAATTGGAAAATTATTAGGAAAACAGTTTCAGAATATTGAAAACAGAGAAAAAAATAATAAATTGACTACATGCAATACTATCGGTGCCCAAAACTAAAAACTAATTAACTCTTCTAATTTCGCTGAAAATTTGCATACCCCTTCAAAATTTTCTCAGGAATACGAGAAAAGTAGCCTTGGAGCGCTACAAACGACGGCCATATTATTAATTAAAATTCTTTGTGTAGGTTTTTGCTTCTATATATCTCAGTTTCTGTTACCGTAGAAAAATCTTGTAAGAGGCAAAATTGTTCGTCACGAGATGCTGTATAAGATACAAATTTTTTCAATTTGAAGATTTTTTTGTTTATAATCTTTAAATAGCAAATACCGTGGAAAATGTAATTGCAAATCTCATATCGTAAATTTACGAAAAATAATTGTGAAGTGGACAATTTAAACAAAACTATGTAATATAACACTTGGTTTATGTTTAAATAACTTGATTTAAATTATTAAATATCAATGGAAACCATTTATATAGAATGGTTTTTTCCATTCTGTTTGGTGCAAAAATGTGCTATTTCATGTATATTTTAATAATCAAAAACAATATTGTAAAAAATATAAGCGTTGATGAAAATTTAGTACAAAACTAAAACTAATAATATTTTATTAAAAAATAAACATTGTTTTCTTATCGTTAAATCCACAAATTTTCGCGAAATTAATCTATGAATAACAGTCTGTTGCTTATTAAACAATAAAAGATTGTGTAAAACATAATTCTCCTAGCAATCAATATTACAGGTAAAGGAGAAAGCATTTGGGATCATCTTACCCATAGTTACCCTCATCTTATAATAGATGGTAGTAACGGCGATGTGGCATGCGATTCTTATAATAAAGTGGAAGAAGATGTAGCCCTTTTGAAGCAACTGGGAGTAGACGTGTACCACTTTTCCCTTTCCTGGACCCGAATTCTTCCAAATGGATTTGCTACTGAAATTAATAAAGATGCAATCAATTATTATAATCACTTGATTACAAGCCTGCTAAATAACGGTATAGAACCGGTGGTTACTTTGTACCATTGGGATCTCCCGCAGGTTCTTCAAAAACTTGGAGGATGGGCTAACGTTATCATGGCCGACTATTTTCTAGATTATGCCCAAGTAGCTTTCGACAATTTTGGGGATAATGTAAAATACTGGATCTCGTTTAGTCAACCAGAAGTTTTTTGTGCAGCTTATGGAGCTTCTAAACATGCGCCGGTTAATGTTAATGCCGATGGGTTTGGAGATTACCTTTGTGGGCACACCGTTCTGTTAGCCCATGCAGCCGCTTATCGATTATATAACGAATCTTATAGATTTTCCCAAGATGGTAAGCGATAAAAATGACCAATAACTTTACTAACGATTTTTATGATAGGAAAGAAAAATTTTGGCGATTGTAAATTCGGCCGATTTAATTAATTTTCGTTAATTACAGTGGTAAATTCGGCCGAAAACCCTAGAGAAAAATTTTCAGTCTCTCTGCAGTCTCTCAGAGTCTTTCAGCGTCTCTGAAAGCGTCTCTCACAGTCTTTCACAGTCTCTCAGTTATTGCCTAGGTATTTTTATGGATCTCTCGCAGTCTCTGTATGAGAGACTTGAACGACAAATTTATTAATTCAGAAATTCGAGTCTCTCGTTCAGAGATTGGATACGAAATGAGGATCTCTCTATGAGCGACTCGAGTCTCTCGCTAAACAGTTTTTTTGACAGTCTCTCTCAGCGACACCAGAGAGACTCGTTGAGAGACGGAGACTCGAGTCTCGCTTCCAGAGACTCTGAGAGACTGAACATTTTTATTTCGGGAACGTTTCGAGCCCTCAAAAATAAAATGTAAATTCGGCCTAAATAAAAACCTAAATAATAATCTCTCGTTTCTGATAGATTCGGTCGCAAAGAATTCTCTTTATAAGATCTAAAAGATATCAATCAATATTATTGTAAAAAAATATTAAAATTATATAGGGTCTTTTGGAATAGCATTGAGTGGAAAATGGTTTGAACCAAACAGTACTTCATCAGAAGATGTCCTTGCCGCATACAGGATGCTGCAATTTACGGTAGAATTTCCTCATAAATTCAACAATAATTTTTAACTAATCAATTATATTATCTCAAGACTGGTTGGTTTGCGAATCCACTGTTCAAAGGCGATTATCCCGCAATCATGAAAGAAGCAGTGGCCCAAAAGAGTCAGGAGCAAGGTTTTCCTTATTCAAGATTACCAGAATTTACTGAGGAGGAAATTAAAAAGATTAGAGGCACCGTAGATTTTCTAGCATTTAATTATTACACAACAGAAATGGTTGCGAATCGGTATGAGGATGGAAGAAATAGCGATCCCTCTTGCGAATTGGATTGCCATGTTAATAAATGGGTGGACAAAACATGGAAGAGAACTACGACAACTTGGTTAAAGGTAAACCAAAATATTTTTATGATTTATCTTATATCGAAAAAAATATTTTGGTTATTGACATTTACTTAATCAGAAACAGATAAACGGGAATTTACACAAATAGTGGATAAAACTAAAAGAAACAACAAAACAAAAGTATAAAAAAAAATTAGGCGGTAATACTTGAAATCATTTATTATCACAATCTCTGACATCAGCCCATTAAACTTTTTTTCTGTATCTTATCTATCGCTGCTCAAATTAAGTTATTTATCAAAAAATAATAAAAAGAAGGAAGCATTTTGTTACTTTTTACACAAATTTATTGAAAAACACTTAACAAATATATTATATTTACTTTTGAAAATGACAAATTAGTGTCGAAACAATTGTTGAGTGTTTTTCAATTTTGTGTGAAAAGTAAACAAGTGATGTTTGTTATTTTTCATTATATTTCACAACTCTACGGTAGATTTTTAACGGTAGCAAACAAATTGAACGGTGTTCTGTAAGAACTCGCTACAGTGTGCTGATGACATCCAAAGAGATCAAAGTCGAGATCCACGCCTTACGGTTTCGACGATCGCTGACCATGAACTTTTGTTAAATTATAGTTAGGTACTTATCAAATGTATTGTTACTACTGTTTGTTTTTTAAATAAAAGTAATTATGCTAACTTTATTGTGCAGTAATTAAAATGAATCTGGTAAACAGAAGAAGCAATAATTTTTCTAATGGAAAAAGAAATAATTTTAATATACCACACTGAAATTTCGATACTTTCAGGCGGTTTCTTGGGGATTCCGAAACGTTCTATTATGGTTAAAAGATGAGTATAATAATCCTCCAATTTATGTAACTGAAAATGGTTTCGCAGATTTGGGTAGTCGTCATGATGTTAATAGAGTAAATTTCCTGAAGGTGATTTAATAACAGTATAAAGATGAATACAACGTTTCAAAAAATAATATTTGTTGTTGTTTTTAGTACCAACTAAGTGCTCTTTTAGAAGCTATAGAAAGAGGCGTCAATATCAAGTCGTATTCAGTTTGGAGTTTAATGGATAATTTTGAATGGACTAAGGGCTATACGTAAGTCACTAAAATATTTTCAACAAGCAACTGACAGTATATAGCCATTGCTAGTTCTGCATAAGCCAAACTAATTCACCCGTGAAGTGATACAATAAATTAATTTTGCCTAGTCCAAACTGGTTTGTTCTCAATCTGTTACCGGCCAAACTCGATATCAGGATAAATTAGTTTTACATAAGTTTTTTGTCATTTTTAATTTATACATCGAAGACGCGATCAACATCATTAAAGACAGTACAATTCTAGGGATAAATACACAGGGGTAAAAGATTGGTATACTTAGATTTGCAGATGATATAGCAGTATTAGCAGCAAGCAAGGAGTTATATATAGCTTTAAATAAAATGGAAGCGGTATTGACAAAACAGTATTGTATGAAAAAATACNGGTTTCTTTTTACCATTAACCTTCAACGTACCTTAGTATTAGTTTTTGCAAAGTTCAAGTCATTTCCACGATTAAGTCTTTTACAGCGGAAATAAAAAAATGAGCGACATGTAAGTAGGTATCAATATCGCAAAAAAAATAAGAAAAACTGTGATTGATTTTTACGTAAGCCGTTAATTGGTTACTATTAGTGGTTAATTATACAACTGTCGTGCCTAATTACGTGGTGATTAGCAATAATGGTTAACTTTTTTTTTTTTTAGAGAAGACAAACAATAGATATTATGTAACGGATCTGTACGACTGTCATAAAAAATTCTATTAAACTATCATCGTTTCAATCAATAATTTATTGCATAAAAAATTGATATTATTTTTTATTATATATTTCCTGAAAAACTATAATAATTTTGCTTTTACATATTTAGTGCAAAAAGAATCACATTTGTGATTGCAATCGGTTCATTTGGGAATTCTAAAAAAAAATTAAAAGTGTATGTTTATAGCACGGCTCTGTATAGGTGCGAATTGTTAACAATGGGCGCAGCGGAAAAGAAAAGTTTAGAAGGATCTGAGATATGATGGGAGAGTGTGGGAATTAATGATTAATTTCCTAGATGTGGGCGTTAAAAGACTTAAAGGATTACATATATTCCATAAAAGTGTTAATTGAGTTCCTAAAACTGTCACAGATTTTTCCTGACTACCCTGCATCTACAGTGTTCGAGAATGTTTTATTATTTTCTAGAACTCTTAGATAGATTAGGATAACGAACGATAGTTTGAAAGTGAATGAAAAAAAGAGAGATATAGGATGGTAGAACACCGTCTGAGACACGCAGGGTTAGTTAGGGACAATTTAGAAGCAGAAACGACAAGAATTAAAAGGGATAGAGGAAAACCTAGAGTAGAATACTGTTTGCAAATAGTAAAGGATATGGGAATATAATAGTTTTAGGACAATTCGAAAATTGGCTCAGGATAGGTGTTTAGATGTTCCATAGGTTGAGAATAAATTATACTAGTGTGTTGTTCTTAACACTTTCTTGAACTCATTTAAACACATTGAATAGTATCAGATACGCCACTGACTATATTTCATTGGATATTGATAATCCTTTCTAGCATATAAATTGGTTAAAATTTGTTTGTCGCGATAGGTAAAATATACTGACCAAAATTACCTCTATATATAATATCTATTACAGTGGCTAAACACTAACCACTAAACAAAAGCAAAGAATGGAGGTACGTGTCCAATCTCCCTATGATAATGATGATACCAACGCTATTTACTTTTGATTCTTTCACATTAATAAACTAAATTTTTATAAAAGTTATAATGGTGAAGGTAATAATAAAAATAAAAATAATGTGCTTTTTTTATTCCTCTGCTTTTTATGAACATTATCTATAGGTGCAATTAGCTATTGATAATAAAATCGAGTCATTTGATTTCAAATTAGATACCTACTCCATCTTTCTGAAGTTTTCGAAAAATTTTTCATTTATTCGACAATCAAGTTATTCAAATTTCGAATATTAAGTTCTATAACTTTTCGGACAGCCTTAGTTTTAAGGAAATCAACCGAGAAAAACATAATATGCAACAATAAACAGGTATTAATTAACCACCCACCTATTTGTTGGAAGTATTTTCATCAACTTTTGTCGCCGAAGGCCGAACCAAATTTTTCTGTTTTCTGGTAACTAAAAGAGATATCTTTTTCTATGAAATATTATCACCAAAGACATCTTAGACCATAAAATCGTAAAAGAACCTATAATATTAGCAGTTTATAGAGTTAATTAAATTTGGGGCACTTTTACATTTTTGGCAACTTTCAAAAAAAATTAAAATCTACAGGAATTAAATATTTAGCAAAGCAAAATTTTCGCCGATTTTTTGTTGTTCTCTTGTTTTCTTGTTTAAATTTTGAATTATACAACAACCTTTGTTCCCTAAAACATGTGTCAAAAAAAGACCAAATCGATGTTGACATTATTCCATTCAATTTAATTATTCATAAAAAAATAAAAACCAAAATATAGTCATCAAAGACCAATGAGATGTCGAATTTTTGCTGTGCGATTTTTTTGCTCTTAACTGTATCCTTGTACATTCTAATCACGTTACGACGGCGACGTCTCGCTTAATTTACTTTGTTATGGTTTTTTTCTTGAAATTAAGTTAAACTGTTTTGCGATTTCTAGTTCAGAACTATGCAGGTAGTAGTGGATAGAGAACAAATGAGATTGTTTTAAAGTTGCATTTAAGTTTTGCTATTCTGGAAATCTCAAATCAATAATAAACTGAACGACAAACGTGTCGTAACCGTTCTCCATAAAATTATTATTTAATTAACACATATTTTGTTAAATTCTGCCACCATAAATAATTTCAAAATGCCTATTCAATGTAGTGTCGGTTTTGTATTAATAATTTCCATATTTAAAGGGTAAGTACTTGCCATTTGTTAATGAAATATTGATATAAAAAATGAAGTGGCTTCTATTTATTTTATTGCTTTAATAGATATTCATTTTTTGAACTAAAAGACCATCAGTTTCCCGAAAATTTGTTATTTGGTGTGGCCACCTCAGCGTACCAAATAGAAGGAGCATGGAATGTGCATGGTATGAACAACAAAAAATTATTTTTCTATGGTTGTAAAAATGGCATAATTTGGCTTTTATACAGCATATTCTATTGCTATAGTTCTGCAACCTCAATTTTAAAAAGAATATGTCGAATTTATTGTAAGTAAACGCGTAAATCACACCGGACGTGGACTGTTGTGAATTCGGACACTTTAAATTGCTATCTACTTAAGGAGTTGACATCATAGAAAAATAACAGAGATACTTAGATAAAACACCGGAAATGATAAGACATTTATATTTAAAATTTAAATTTCGCAAAATTGGAAAATTATTAGGAAAACAGTTTCAGAATATTGAAAACAGAGAAAAAAATAATAAATTGACTACATGCAATACTATCGGTGCCCAAAACTAAAAACTAATTAACTCTTCTAATTTCGCTGAAAATTTGCATACCCCTTCAAAATTTTCTCAGGAATACGAGAAAAGTAGCCTTGGAGCGCTACAAACGACGGCCATATTATTAATTAAAATTCTTTGTGTAGGTTTTTGCTTCTATATATCTCAGTTTCTGTTACCGTAGAAAAATCTTGTAAGAGGCAAAATTGTTCGTCACGAGATGCTGTATAAGATACAAATTTTTTCAATTTGAAGATTTTTTTGTTTATAATCTTTAAATAGCAAATACCGTGGAAAATGTAATTGCAAATCTCATATCGTAAATTTACGAAAAATAATTGTGAAGTGGACAATTTAAACAAAACTATGTAATATAACACTTGGTTTATGTTTAAATAACTTGATTTAAATTATTAAATATCAATGGAAACCATTTATATAGAATGGTTTTTTCCATTCTGTTTGGTGCAAAAATGTGCTATTTCATGTATATTTTAATAATCAAAAACAATATTGTAAAAAATATAAGCGTTGATGAAAATTTAGTACAAAACTAAAACTAATAATATTTTATTAAAAAATAAACATTNAAACCACTTTTGAAGTTGCATGAAAATAAAAATTGATAATGTGTAACTGCAGCTACTTTACACAACAATACAAAGAGTAGGAGCTTCGTGTTTTTTTGTAAATAAATAAATAAACAAACCTAGGTACCGCTATCGGTTACCTATTTTGGTCTCAATGGCTGTCCAAGCAATTTAAGATCCCGTACGTCCTAGATATTTACATCTACTTTTGAAATCAACAACAACTAGCGGTCGTCTATGTGGTTTTTGCGATTATTAACGGCGTGCATATTTCATTAAATCGGGGCCCAGCCCCTTCCAACCTTGACTGCAGAAGCTCATTTCCTATCAAATTTATTTATGCAAATCGACAAGTTAAAAACCATTCAGTTCCATATTCAATCCCCGTCACATACATACACACACATACGCACACCCACAACGAACTAACAGCATACACCCTTATTTAGAAATATAATGAAAATTGTAGGTGGTAGGTAAAAAGTCATAAATATATTTCCCGTCAAGGTATACAGATACAGACGTACGGAATCGTATGCATAAATATTACAGGTTACTTATATACACAGGGTGTTCAACCGTCTCTATGAAAACTTTAGAGAAACCTTAGACAAAAATTTTCAGTTTCTCTCCACTCTCTCAGTCTTTCAACGTCTCTGAGAGCGTCTCTCATAGTATTTCACAGTCTCTCAGTTATTGCCTAAGTGTATTTATGGATCTCTCACAGTCTCTGTATGAGAGAATCGAACGATAAAATTGTTAATTTAGAGATTCGAGTCTCTCACAGAAACACTGAATGAATAAAACTGAAAAATTGAGAGACTCGAGTCTCTCAGAAAGACTGGGATCTCTGAAATATGTTGAACTTAGAAAATTTTAACCATGTCTATCGAGACACCACTTATTAAGAGAGTCTCTCGTTCAGACTGAATACGAAATGAGGATCTCTCTATGAGCGACTCGAGTCTCTCGTTCCGAGACGCTAAACAGTTTTTTTGACAGTCTCTTGACAATCTCTCTGAGCGACACCAGAGAGACTCGAGTCTCGCTTCCAGAGACTCTGAGAGACTGAACATTTTTATTTCGGGAACGTTTCGAGCCCTCAAAAATAAAATGTAAATTCGGCCTAAATAAAAACCTAAATAATAATCTCTCGTTTCTGATAGATTCGGTCGCAAAGAATTCTCTTTATAAGATCTAACAGATATCAATCAATATTATTGTAAAAAAATATTAAAATTATATAGGGTCTTTTGGAATAGCATTGAGTGGAAAATGGTTTGAACCAAACAGTACTTCATCAGAAGATGTCCTTGCCGCATACAGGATGCTGCAATTTACGGTAGAATTTCCTCATAAATTCAACAATAATTTTTAACTAATCAATTATATTATCTCAAGACTGGTTGGTTTGCGAATCCACTGTTCAAAGGCGATTATCCCGCAATCATGAAAGAAGCAGTGGCCCAAAAGAGTCAGGAGCAAGGTTTTCCTTATTCAAGATTACCAGAATTTACTGAGGAGGAAATTAAAAAGATTAGAGGCACCGTAGATTTTCTAGCATTTAATTATTACACAACAGAAATGGTTGCGAATCGGTATGAGGATGGAAGAAATAGCGATCCCTCTTGCGAATTGGATTGCCATGTTAATAAATGGGTGGACAAAACATGGAAGAGAACTACGACAACTTGGTTAAAGGTAAACCAAAATATTTTTATGATTTATCTTATATCGAAAAAAATATTTTGGTTATTGACATTTACTTAATCAGAAACAGATAAACGGGAATTTACACAAATAGTGGATAAAACTAAAAGAAACAACAAAACAAAAGTATAAAAAAAAATTAGGCGGTAATACTTGAAATCATTTATTATCACAATCTCTGACATCAGCCCATTAAACTTTTTTTCTGTATCTTATCTATCGCTGCTCAAATTAAGTTATTTATCAAAAAATAATAAAAAGAAGGAAGCATTTTGTTACTTTTTACACAAATTTATTGAAAAACACTTAACAAATATATTATATTTACTTTTGAAAATGACAAATTAGTGTCGAAACAATTGTTGAGTGTTTTTCAATTTTGTGTGAAAAGTAAACAAGTGATGTTTGTTATTTTTCATTATATTTCACAACTCTACGGTAGATTTTTAACGGTAGCAAACAAATTGAACGGTGTTCTGTAAGAACTCGCTACAGTGTGCTGATGACATCCAAAGAGATCAAAGTCGAGATCCACGCCTTACGGTTTCGACGATCGCTGACCATGAACTTTTGTTAAATTATAGTTAGGTACTTATCAAATGTATTGTTACTACTGTTTGTTTTTTAAATAAAAGTAATTATGCTAACTTTATTGTGCAGTAATTAAAATGAATCTGGTAAACAGAAGAAGCAATAATTTTTCTAATGGAAAAAGAAATAATTTTAATATACCACACTGAAATTTCGATACTTTCAGGCGGTTTCTTGGGGATTCCGAAACGTTCTATTATGGTTAAAAGATGAGTATAATAATCCTCCAATTTATGTAACTGAAAATGGTTTCGCAGATTTGGGTAGTCGTCATGATGTTAATAGAGTAAATTTCCTGAAGGTGATTTAATAACAGTATAAAGATGAATACAACGTTTCAAAAAATAATATTTGTTGTTGTTTTTAGTACCAACTAAGTGCTCTTTTAGAAGCTATAGAAAGAGGCGTCAATATCAAGTCGTATTCAGTTTGGAGTTTAATGGATAATTTTGAATGGACTAAGGGCTATACGTAAGTCACTAAAATATTTTCAACAAGCAACTGACAGTATATAGCCATTGCTAGTTCTGCATAAGCCAAACTAATTCACCCGTGAAGTGATACAATAAATTAATTTTGCCTAGTCCAAACTGGTTTGTTCTCAATCTGTTACCGGCCAAACTCGATATCAGGATAAATTAGTTTTACATAAGTTTTTTGTCATTTTTAATTTATACATCGAAGACGCGATCAACATCATTAAAGACAGTACAATTCTAGGGATAAATACACAGGGGTAAAAGATTGGTATACTTAGATTTGCAGATGATATAGCAGTATTAGCAGCAAGCAAGGAGTTATATATAGCTTTAAATAAAATGGAAGCGGTATTGACAAAACAGTATTGTATGAAAAAATACTGGTATGCAAGGGTAGAAAAAGTAGGGAAGGAGCGAATATAAAGGTAGAAGACATAGGAGAAAAAGTACCTGATTTTAGGTATCTAAGAAGTCAGATAAGTCAGGACGGAAGGAGTAGTAAGGATATAAAGCAGAGAATAGCGCAGAGTCGAGTCGTCTTCAATAAAAAGAAGTCACTTCTATGCTCGTGAACGATTAACTTAGGCATTCGAAAAAGGTTTTTAAAGATGTATGTTTGGAGCACGGCGCTGTACGGTTGCGAAACATGGACGGTGGGTGCGGCGGAAAAGAAAAGGTTAGAAGCGTTCGAAATGTGGTGTTATAGGCGAATGATGAGGATAACGTGGATAGAGAAGGTTAGAAATGAAGAGGTATTAGAAAGAATAGGAAAACAGAAGACTCTATGGAAGTCAATAAGGAATAGGAGAGATAGGTTGGTAGGACACTTTCTCAGGCATGAAGGTCTAGAAAGAGATATATTAGAGGCAGAAACGATAGTTAGGAGGGGTAGAGGTAGACCTAGATTAGATTTCTGTTCGCAAATAGTTAAGGATATGGGTTATTCCAGTTTTAGGGATAGGATAGGAATGACTGAAGTGAAGTCAAATTAATTCATCCGAAGAGTGATAGGATGAATTGGTCTAGGATAGAGTAGATAACAGCAATGTCTGCAACGGATAGCATGTATGAACAAGGAGAAAGCCATTGAGTAATAAGTCTAGTGGAAGCTAATTTACTCTGAATTTGTTACCTGCCAAATCTGATTTAGAATAAACCAGTTTTCATCATATCAAAGTAGTCTAAATTAACTATAGCTTGGTCTAAAACAGGTAAATAATAATAAGAAGAAAAAATAATCAATAAAAAGTTAACTAGTTTAGCGGGTAATAAGTACCCACACAGCTTGGTCACAAAAAATTTAATGTTATTTATTTATTTAGTTACTTAGTTAGCGTGTCTATCACAAGAAGAAGTTACGTCGTAGATTTAATTTGACAAGTATATGCATAAATATGTAAGGTTCGTGCTAAACATTATAAAATATTAGAGTTAACAGTAAATATATAGGTAGTGGTGATAATATATCGCCAGCTTCTTGATATTGTGTATGAAGCAACGTCATTTTGGTTAAAGATTTATCGATGCTACTCCTGGTGTGTTAATAATAACTAGGTTACAAGCTAGGAATCACAATCCACATGTGGTAGTTTCGATAAGTAAGCTGATCGAGGATTTTAATGTCTTATACTTTTTTATTTTTTTTTTTACCTTTTGCAGGCACCTCTCTTCTGTATCTGTAATATTTTTATTTTATTATATATCAAAAACATTGTAGCTTTTTTTTAACAGGGTTAAATATGGTCTCTATTACGTCGATATGTCGGATGCAAATCGAAGGAGAACACCCAAATCATCAGCCCATTTTTACAAAGACGTTATTTCCAACAGAAAAGTGGTACACGAGGTCCCAAAACAGATGTCAGATGCATCGAAAACTTCAAAGAATATATTTTTCACTATAATGGTCATCTTGGTGGTACTAATTCTATCATAATTAACATAACATTGAACCATTATAATCGTGTTTAAACAATAGTATCTATGTATCTGCGATATAAGTTTTATTAATTACATGTATTTTTGAAAACAACTAGTAAATCATAATTTGTATTATAAAGGTGAAAAAGATTATGAGTTTAGTTTCACAGGGGTTTATCTACAAGCGTCTACAGCAGCTTCATTAAGCGATGAAATAGACGTGTACATAAATCCTTTGATATTTCAGTGTTTTCCATTTTTATAACTGCTATAATCATCAAGGTCTAAATACAAATTATATTAGGAAACAGATTTAAGAATTACATAACAAACAAAACGATACAATTTATGATTTTTATTTAATACATATTTAAAAATGCTACAGTCCTGACGCTGGAAGCTGGCGGAAATTTTAAAATAACGTGGATGCGCGGTGGCAAAAGTAGGCAGTTTTAGGTATAACGATTGCAGTCCTCTTTCTTCAGTATTCCTATCAGGGGCGTAGATTAAATATTTAAAAATAGGGATCAGTGAGCAAGTAATAGACAGACAAACAATAGCACTAATTGTTGATGTTGGTGACAGTTATAGAGATTCCCATTATTACAGTGAATGTAAAAACTATCTAACTATAAACAAAACTAACTAACTAATTTTTTCTTTTTGGTAAATTATGTCTCTACATTATTTTCTAGTACGCTACTGTCCTATCTGTATTAATACTATAATTTACGCCTACCGAAAGCTTATTTGTGTATCGGTTCCAAGTGACTTACCCAAATAGGTCATAAATGGGCAAGTACCTGCGCGACCGCTCGCCAGCTTCCTTCGTCAGACCTGTACATTACCACTGTTTGAAAAGAGAGATCTACAAGAATGTCCTCGGAGTACATAAGTCTTCCTTATTCGTATACACTTCTTTCAGTTACCTTGTGCTATTTTGTCGCTCAAGTGTCAATTATGCGTTAAAGAAAGGATCAATTTATGCACTGGAGAAACATCAACAGTAATTTCTTTAAAAGTCAAGACAAGCTGGCATATATGACGGAAAATTTCAGTATTTAAGACAATTATTGTGCAGGTAAATAGAAAAACTTGTTCTTACAAGAATTATTAAAAAAATCGTCAGCAACAGATTAAATGATCAAGACCAAGGCCGAGGCTATATCAGCAAGATCAAGATCAAAACCAAGGCTACTAGTATTTGAGCAAAAGCAAGACCAAGATTGGGACAGTCTTGATCTTGGTCATCACTATATATCCCCATAAAATATTTCAACATTGACCCCTACAATCGTCCGACATAACTCCACCGAATTCCTTTTTATAGAGATTTGTAAAAGGATTTGATTATAGCACATCTCCGACAACACCAGAGAATATGAAGCATTACAGCAGTGTTTGTTTAGAAATTTGTTTAAATATTCACTAAAATTAAAAGTAATCCGAAAAACCGGGATTTCCGTGAATATGCTTATCTTGAATAACAAAGAATTATGCGGTTAGTATCTAATTTGTAAATTACAGCAGTTATCACGCGTTTCGGCAGATTAAATAGAAATTAAATGAATCGCAGGATTAAGGTAATCTAAAACTTGCACCACTATTTAACTTAATCTGTATAGTCTTAATAAAAAAATTCGAACATATAAGCTTATCTTTATAAACGACAAGTATATTTTATGATGTTTTCCATTTTGGCAAAACTTATTAAATACTTGCAGTATAGTATTGTGTGCATACTTCTCAAAATGGCAGTACTTGTTCCACTTGTTTGTGTATGTTTGTTGTCATTTGCTAAGGGGTAAGTTGCTATAAGTTATGTAATTTGATTATTGATGTTAAAAAGCATTTGTTGTAGTCAGAATTTAGAACTCAGCAGTGATGAATTTCCTGAAGATTTTCTATTCGGCACAGCAACATCGGCTTATCAAACAGAAGGAGCCTGGAATGTAAATGGTACTTGAAGTAAATCATTATCATACATACATAATCACTTCTCACTTAAATCCATTAAATTTTGATTGTATCTTATCTAATTTTCATTTCATTCTTTACAAAATAAACTTGTTGCTGTTGTTGTGTTAAATCCCCTTTCCCATTAAGTAAAATTTGTTTTATAGGTAAAGGGGAAAATATTTGGGACTACCTTACTCATAATTACCCTGACCGAATAGCGGACGGTAGTAACGCCGATATTTCATGCGATACTTACCATCACGTTGAAGATGACGTAGCCATATTAAGAGACTTGGGAGTAGATTACTATCGATTTTCTATATCATGGTCCCGACTACTTCCTAATGGGTTTTCCCATGAAATTAACGATGACGCTGTCCGTTATTACAATTTTCTCATTGATGCTCTCCTGAATAATGGCATTACTCCGATGGTTACCTTATACCATTGGGATCTGCCGCAAATTCTCCAAAAGTTGGGAGGATGGTCTAACGTTAATATAGTTGACTATTTTACGGATTATGCCAATGTCGCTTTTGAAAATTTTGGTGACAGGGTAAGATACTGGATCACGTTTAATGAACCGGATTTGTTTTGCGAAGCTTATGGAGCACTCGAATTTGCCCCGATAGAAGTGAAAGCTGATGGCATTGGAGATTATCTTTGTTCGCATCATGTTCTTTTGGCGCATGCATCAGCCTACCATCTTTACAATGAATCCTTTAAAACCACTCAAAGAGGTAACATTTTAGTAAAATTTCAATATATAATATTACAGAATTAGAATCGGTTTAGCCTCTTGGTCAAAATTGATCATTCATCTGTTTAATAGGTTCTCTTGGTATCGCACTCAGCAGTAGATGGTACTTGCCTAATACCACGTCTGTAGAGGATATCGAGGCAGCCAACCGTTTTCTGCAATTTAAGGTATACTAATATACAAATACATATCTTATTAATTAGTTTTGATCTTGGGATTCTCTTCTCGCGCATATCACTGCTTATGAACTTTTGAAACATTTCTAGGGGGTTTACGAAACAGAGTACAATAAATTGAATTAATAATTCTCTGTTTCAATTACAAGTGTAAAATCGGCCTTAAAAATGCAAAACGTAAAATAGGAATAAAATGCTTTTTATTCAATTTTTTATTAATAAAACTGTTCTATTGGTCGCTGAAAAGCTCTTACAGGGTTCATACAGGGAAAAGTCGGGTAATTAATTATCTAAGGTGACAATTTTCGTTCAGAATAATACAAGTTCTGTTATTTTACATCACATAACAAGCACTATTGATATTTTAAAAGTTCTTTCCTATTTTTATTAATAGCATTATATTCCGAAAAAAATAGATTAATAAATACGTCATTATCACTAAAAGCAATGCCAAGTATATGTTTACTGGAGTCGAGTTTAATCATATTATCCAATCTCGATTTTGTTATCTATTTATAGGAAAACTGATAGGATACCTTAATTTGATCCGAATTGTAACCAATTTCTATTAATAATTTACAGTTGAGCAACTATCCAAAGATAAGTCTAAATTAGTATTAATAGAAAGGAATTTAAAATTAAAAAAAATACAACGTGTTATTATACAACACGTTACTGAAGTGAAACTTCTTCAAACATACCGGGATGGGGGTTAAGGAATTAGTTTAATGGTATTATTTGTACACTGTGCTTCGCACGGGTGCAATGCTGTTAGTAAATATACTATAGAATGTCTTTATATACAACATTCACAGTTTTTTTGTCATTAGACAATACAAATCGGCCGGTACCGCCGCAATCGCTATGTCCCTGCATTTTAAGTCTGTAATATCTTCGAAAATATTCGTTTAAATTACATGCTGTAAAGGGCCATATTGATCTATATTAAATGCACAATGTATTTAAAAGTACTTAATTGGATAAGGATTAATGCTGTATTGCTTAAAATCGCTTCGTAAATAAGCCATTATTTCTCGTAAAAAGTAAAGGATAAAAAATGGTTATTGTGGGTTATCCCTAAGAGATAGACATACACCATC